TTCTCTTGACAAAACTCTATTAGCCTTTGCCCTGCTTCGTTTTTGAACTCTAAGGCCAAACTTACCTGTTGTTCCTTTTATCTCTTGACTCCCTACTTTAGCTTTTGAGTCCCCTATAATGACAAGAACATCGAAGAATCAGTTCTAAAAGGTGTTGTAAGTCTTCATAGAATTGGTCAATTTCAGCCTTTTCAGCAATGGTGGTTGGTGCATAAACTTGGATTATTGTGAGGTTGAAAGGTCTGTCTTGGATTTGTATTGATATCATTCTATCACATTTGAGATTGTATCCCAGTACAGCTTTTCCTACTCTTTCGTTGACTATGAGGCTACTCCATTTCTTCTATGGGATTCTTGCCTACAACAGTAGATATGATAATTGTCTGAATTGAATTCCCCCATTCCCGTCCATTTTAGTTCACTGATGTCAATGTTTATTCTTACCATCTCCTGTTTGACCACATCCAGCTTATCAAGGTTCATAGATCTTACATTCCAGGTTACTAAGCAGTATTTTCTTTGCAGCATCAGACTTTCCTTTCACTTCCAGGCGCGTCTGCAGCTAAGCGTCCTTTCGGCTTTGGCCCAACCACTTCATTAGCACTGGAGCTACTTGTACTTGTCCTCTGCTCTTCCTCAATAGCATGTTGGACGTCTTCCGATCTGAAGGTCTCATCTTCCAGTGTCATATCCTTTAGTCTTTTGTTTCTGTCCTTGGAGTTTTCTTGGCAAAGATACTGGAGTGGGATACCAGTTCCTGCTACAGGTAGATCATGTTTAATCAGAACTCTCCACTCTGACCTGTCTGCCTTGTGTGTTCCTGCACGGCATAGCCCATAGCTTCTCTGAATTACTAAAGCCCCTTCGCCACAATAAGACAGCAATCCATGAAGGAGCAATTTACCATTACTCCAAATTTACCATTACAATATTTTGTAACTTGTCTCCATCTAGCAATTGTCACTCATTTCCTCTTTCCTACATAATTTCTTACCTCTAGCAAATATTTGTTGGGTGGGGAGGGCAGCTTTTGGGTGCCTACCATATTTTATAATTCCTGTTTGTGTGACATACCTTCCACCAGTAGCAACTACAGAGGTTGTTGTAACTGGTGATTTCATAAATCTAAGAACAGGATATAGGTAGGAGATTTTTATTTTTCAGAATCAGCCACCCATTTATTTTTCCAAGTAACATTAAAGAACAGGCCCACAGAGTGAAAGATTTTTGTAAAAGGCAAATGTGGCTACATTACCTTCAAGTCTGACCACTAGAGGCACTTTGAGTTCAAGCTCTCGGCAAGCTTTGGTGATGCCATTGGCTATAATGGCACAATTAACAATCCCACCAAAAATATTGACCAGAATTGCTTCAACCTAGGACAGAAAAAATTAAACACATTGTCAAATTTGTGTAATAGTATGTGCATTTTTAAAAAAAAGAGGCGTAAAATAAGAGAAACAGATTATGCTTTACAATGAATTATTGTACCTTCTGTTAGAATCAAACAGCTGAGAACTGAGCTGGTGACAGCCAATGTGCTTTGATACGTACATCATTCAAGGATAAATTTCAGTTTCATCCAACCAATTTGATGGGCATTTGAGTTTATAACCATATTTTATATTTTTATGCCATCCAATTCTAACAAACAAAAGTTATAGCCATTTGTTGATTTTCAATTATCGCTGCTAGAGTCTTGGCCATATTCAAACTTCATAATGTAAAACTAAGACTGTCAGAAATAATTTTGCCAGGATTTTGTCCCATAGGGTTTAAAGAGGACGAGACATGGGCACGAATCGCTTCAGTCCCAATCAGGGAAATTCACTGGTGTAGTGCCACAGGTATCATGTGTTTCCATGCCCTCAGACAGATGCCCCACTCACAAACCTCCGGGCGCTGGCTGGGTCCACCTCCAAGGGCAGCTGCCCATTCCAGACAAGGACCTCCCTTCCTCGCCTCCTGTAGCAACTACCCACTCAGGCAAGGCGGCAAGACAGAGGTTCTTGTTGCAGAGCCCATAAGTGGTTAGCTTCTGCAGGAGGCAGGGAAGGGAAGTCCCTGCCCCTGTCCAGAAGTGGACAGCTGCCCCTGGAGGAGGGCCCAGCTGGCACTTGGAAGTTTATGACTAGGGTAGCTGACCGGGGGATGGGGAGAGGAAGTGTGTGGCACCTGTGGTGCGGCGCCAATGAATTTCCTTGATGTCAGCCAAAATGATTCATGCCCATGTCTAAAGAGGACATAATCACTTTTTAAATACTGCCCAGAACTTTATCAAATCAACAAAGGATTTCCTTCCATGATATGCTTAAAAACCATATGTCAGTTGTTTTCAACAAAGTTTTTGCAGAAATATACAATATTATCTTGCCAAAAAAATTGGGGAAAATGGTAAATGTTAATGTTTAAGCACATTTAAAATTGCTAAAGCCTTTGCTATCCTTCAATCAGTTTGAAATCTGGCACATTTGTAGCCCTCATTGTGTATTTATTTATTTATTTAATTTGTTTGTCTTATTTATAAGCCACCTTTCCTGTAGCCCTCATTGTGTATATATTTATTTATTTAATTTGTTTGTCTCATTTATAAGCCACCTTTCTCCCGATAAGGGATCCAAAGCGGCTCACAATATTAAAAAGAATAGAATTAAAAAAAATAAGTTAAACATTAAAAATCAATTAAACAATGTGCTAATTGAAATACAGTGGAATAATCAAAAGCAAGTAAACATTAAAAACTCAAAAAAAAAAGCATTCTAGGACGCAATCATGGTTGTTAAAAGCCTGCCTGAAAAGATGGATCTTCAGCTGTCAGCGGAAGGAATAAAAGGAAGAGGGCCAGCCTGATCTCTTCCATAAGCTCGGATCTGCCACAGATAAAGCCTTCTCTTGTGTCTCAATCAACCATGCCTGTGTTGACAATGGGACTGAGAAGGAGGGTCTCCTCTGATAACTTTCAACGCTGAGAGGCTCATTTGGAGAGATATGGTCCATCAGACAGCCTGGACCCAAGCTGCCTAGGACTTTACAGGTAATGACTAGCACTTCGAATATGGCCTGGAAACGGACTGGTAGCCAGTGCAGTTGTAGTAGTCCCAGTCAGCAGTCCGGCTGCCACATTTTGAATCAGCTGAAGTTCCGGAACCATCTTCAAAGGCAATTCCACACAGAACGCTTTACAGTAATCTAGGCAGTAGATGGATAGATGTCATGTTTCATGTTATTTGCTCAGCTGCTGCCATTTTAATAAGCAGACGCTGGATCCGTTTCAGTCGGGCTTCAGGCCGCGCCATGGTACAGAGACGCCATTGGTCACCCTGTACAATGACTTGTTGAGGGAGGCCGACAGGAGTAAGACGTCTCTGTTGGTCCTCCTCGACATCTCAGCGGCCTTCGATACCGTCGACCACGGTATCCTCCTGAGGAGGCTCTCTGAGTTAGGTATTGGAGGCCTGGCTTTGGCCTGGTTCCGCTCCTTCTTGGAGGACCGCCCCCAGAGAGTGCAGCTTGGGGAGAGTGTCTCGGCCCCGTGGAGCCTCAAATGTGGGGTTCCACAGGGGTCAGCTATCTCCCCAATGCTGTTTAACATCTATATGAGGCCGCTGGGTGGGGTCATCAGGGGGTGTGGAGCATCGTGTCATCAGTACGCTGATGACACCCAGCTCTACATCTCCTTTGTACCAACTGCAGGTGATGCCATCCTGTCCCTTCAGCGCTGCCTGGAGGCTGTACTGCAATGGATGCAGGAGAACAGGCTGCGGCTGAACCCGGACAAGACGGAAGTCCTGAGGGTGGGTGCCCCTGTTGTGGGCGGCCTGGGTGACTCTCTCTTGTTTGGGGGGGTGGCCCTGGCCGCGAAGAGTGGGGTTTGCAGCCTGGGGGTACACCTGGACCCGACGCTCATCATGGAAATGCAGGTGGCGTCGGTTGTCCGCACCGCCTTTTTTCATCTTTGGCAGATTGCCTGGCTGCGTCCTTACCTAGACACGGGGCCGCTCACTACCTTAGTACATGCACTTGTAATCTCTAGATTAGACCACTGCAACGCGCTCTACGTGGGGCTCCCTTTGAAGCTGACGCGGAAACTTCAGGTGGTGCAGAATGCGGCGGCCAGACTCCTCACTGGCGTGAGCAAACACCATCATATCTCTCCTATTCTGGCCAAGCTGCATTGGCTGCCGATCCGTTTCCACGTCGACTTCAAAGTGTTAATGCTTACATACAAGGCCCTAAATGGTCTAGGACCTCGATATTTGGCGGAATGCCTGCTCCCACCTAGATCTACCCGAATCACCCGCACGAGCCAGGAGGTGAGGTTGAGGAGCCTAACGCCGAGGGAGGCCCGAAAGGTAAGAACACGAAATCGGGCCTTCTTGGCGGTGGCTCCTCGCCTCTGGAATAACCTTCCTCCAGCGATTCGTGAGGCCCCTACGCTGGACACATTTAAGAGTCAGCTAAAAACATGGTTATATGTTCAGGCCTTCCCTCCTGTCAACACTTAATTTCTTTCCTCTTCTCATCTATTTTTTTGTGTTATTATATGTGGTGCCGTTTATTTGTAACATTTTTATGCTTATTGTATACTTTTTATGGAAGCCGCTCAGAGTGGTCGATCTGACCAGATAAGCGGGATATAAATAAATAATTAAAAAAAGCAGCACAATTTTGTGACTTCCAGAGGTGCAACCAAATTTTTTCTTTCATTTTTCTGACTCACCTTCATTAAAGGGGCACCCCTGCGCCTCTCAATCCAGTGTTAGAAAGAGTCAGATTTCTGAATGGACAATTCCCCCCCCCCCAGCTCAAATCAAATTGATTAGAGACACTGATCTGTTTCCCAGAAAGTCAGGAACAGTCTGGCTTATTTTCTAAGCCAATCTGATTTCATTATCATATTCACTGTTCCACCTGCCACATAACCCTCAGAAAAATGGCAGTCCCTCCTGGTCCTTTTGCTCTAGATCCGCTAGCAGCTCCATTTGCTTTTTCCCTTTCCTCTTCCCCTACAGTATCTGGAACACCCACTGCCACTTCCTCTGCTTCCATGTCTAGTAAAGGCATTTCAAAGTGAATATGGTTCAACTTTCTGAAATGATCCAAAACTGATCTGGAAACTACTCAGACCTTCTGGATGTCACAAGATGGTCTTGGGTAACTTTCTCCAAATTTATCAAAGAGACCTTAAAAAAACTGCTTCTATTGCTCGAAGGAGAGCAAAAATACTACATTTTGGGGACCAGTCCGTGGGTAAGGGTTGGGAGTGTACTCTCCTGCTTGTCCCTCAGCCTGTAATGGAATGATGCAGCTGCATTATGTTGCACAGAAAAGTATGGCAATTATTCTCACCTTCCAACTTCAATCTGGATTGGTGAGAATCTTCAGTGACTGTAAACTATGTTTCTCGCTGAAGCTGGTTTTTTTTAAAAAAATCTTTCCCCAAATGTGGCTCAAGAGAAAGTCACCAAGATCTCTAATGTAGGAGGGGATGAGAATGGGTAGGTAGTGAGAGAGATACCAGGAAGGGAGAGGTAAATGGAATTATCTATCCTGTATTTTCCCTAAAACAGAGATGAAGGGGTGGGGCTTATCATAGAATCATATGACAATAGAGTTGGAAGGAGCCTATAAGTCCAACCCCCCCGTTCAATGCAAGAATCCAAATCAATGCAGATCTGACAGATGGTAATGCGCGCCCACCACCTTCCAAGGTAACTGCTCCCAGATATTAAACACACCACCACACAGTCTGAATAGAAGTGACATGGTTTTATTAAAATAAGCATTGGGCGCGCTCACCACCTTCCAAGGTAACTGCTTCCAGATATTAAACACAGCACCATTCAGTCTTAATAGAAGTGACATGGTTTTATTAAAATAACAATATCCAAAGGATGTTGTTTATTCCTAGGCTTTAAGTTTATTCACAATTCTTTGTTCTCTCTCTCACCTCTCTCTCTCAAGACTGTTCTAACATAGAACCTAAACTAATCTCTCCCCAGACTCCACTACCATTCCCTTCCCAATCTCCCTATACTTCACAAACACACTCCCACTCCTAATCTGGCTTCTTTCCCAGCCAATCAGAGTCATTCTTTCCAACATTTGATCTTCCTCACTCACTCTCTCCCATCAAACCAATGCATTTTGAACAATATATTTACCATGAAAATACATTTAAATAGAACCAGACATCACAGGTATGAACACAGCTTCCAAAGGCAGACACCTGAGGTTATAAATGGAGGGCTTGGCCACCCACCCATATCAGAATAATGCCTTTCCCATAGAGGAACAACACAGCAGGTATGTTATGAAGCTTTCTTCTGATTTCTGCCACATATTTGAGTTCCAAAAGGTCATTTATCTAAACCTC